ATGTTGAAAGACACATTTAATGGTTGTTTCGGTGTGTTATTCAATGAGCTAAAATGATCAGGTAATGCGTGCAATAAAAATGAAAGGATTTGTACAGATTAATTTCAGCTAATGCCCCACAGAGGTGAAGGCCTTTTCTATCAAAATTGTAGGGTGATGTAAGATTTGTAATAATAATCAAATGGTTGTTTTAGTAATACAAGTAGTAGTAGTAGCTTACAACAGTACTATGGCTGTAAATGTGTTTAAAAGTCATATATTATGCAAAATTTACTCCAGTGAGTTTTAAGTTATGTTACAATGTTGTTACCTCCTCAAAAACATATCTGGAGTTGTGTTTTGTTTCATTCACACATGTTTGAGTAATCCTTTATTATTAGTCTGTCTACATCGCTAAAGCTCAAAATGCTCTGTTCCACCTTGTGATGTCATGAAGAGGAAGTTTTTAAGTTAACAACTACATTTTACATTTAGATCAGTAGATAATGGCAATTCCAGCGAAGTTGTGGAGTGGAGCACCCCCTACATTACCACATGACATCACAAGTTGGAACAGAGTGTTTTCAGTTTTAAAGAGGAACACAGCTTAAAAAGGTTTGTGTTAAACATGAGTGAATGAAACAAACCATTACTCCAGGTATGTTTTTGATAAGGAAACAACATTATAACAGACCAGAAAATAACATATTTGCTTTTTAAATTTACCCACTTCTACTTCTACCTACTTTCTAGTACACATTATATTTTTTACTGTTTTCTATATCCTAATGTGACCTTTAATATGAGATGCACTGTTTAATCTCCTCTCTCTAAAAGCCCTTATTTTCAGAATGTCACATTGTAATTGTTTGCTCTCACATTGTATCAGAGAGGAGACGCTAACATGGTGCATGTCATATATTTACACCTATTAAAGCAATCACTGGTACTTAACTAGATTATGTGTTTAATAACTTTGCCCTGCTTTATAAAATACATCTCCTATTAAGTCTCGCAGTAAATACAATGAAAACAACAACCAAATGATTATGTGACTTAAAAAATACATAAAGACTTAATGAAGAGTTTGTTTAAGTTTTAAAATATAGTAATTAAAGGTCTTATGTTAAGCAAAATTGACTTGTGAACTTTAGCTATGTTAGAATGTTGTTACCTCCTCAAAAACACACCTGGAGTTTTGTTTCATTTTTGTTTCATCATGTTTCATCATTTGTTTTGTTTCATTCACACATGTTTGAGTAATTTTTTATTATTTTGTCTACAAGGAAACAACATTATAACATACATCAGAAAATTGTGTAATATCGGCCCTTTAAGTTATTTTAAAAGCTCACAGGTTTTCACCATTTTTATATTACATTTTGTTAATATAATTGTAAATGTTTACAATGTTTTGTGTTACATATCTTTTCTACTTTTACTTATTCAGTTAGAGGAATATACAGACAAAACTACTGAAAAGCTTTAAGATGTTACTGGAAAGCAATAAAAACACATTGTATCTGACATATCACCCCATGCCATGACGTGCCTCCGGGTTGGACATTGGACATAACTGACAGCACATAAAGCTCCACTTGTATTATTTCTGTTCACGATCTATCCCCCATCAAATCACCATCTTCTCCTCTCCCCCACAGAGAACAACTTGCCTCCGATGCAGAGTATCTCCAGTGGCCTGAAGGAGACCATAAACCCCGGAGATATGGTCCAAGACGCCATCCATAACTTCTCCCCGGCCTACCAACAGTACACGCAGCAGTCCATGCAGGAAGTGGTCCCCCCCACCGCCACCAACGGAAAGGCAACCGCGGGCAACAAGAACCCCCGCAAGTCCGACAAAATCATGCTCATCACCTCCGACGATGAGTTCTAGGCGTCACTCCAACTGTTTTTTTGGACCCTCGGGGAAATGGCTGTACTGCACATCGCATGCAGCCAGATATATGAGTTTTATGATACTATAATGGGGAAAACAGACTGTTTATTACATTATTTGTGTAAAACGTGTTTGGACTTGGACTTGTTGTCGCAAATCAACCACTTCGTACATTGATTTGTGTTGTGTTTTTATGTCAGATGCCCTACCTGATGCAACCTATTTTAATTGAAGGCTAGGAAAAATTTGAGGACCCTCTTGTTGTAATATTTGTTTAAAAAAGTGCACCTTGAAAAGAATTGCGATGAATTTCAATCTTCCGTGAAGTTGCTACTACAAGTCAGTCCAATTTGCATATTAATTTGGCAGTTATTTTATGTCAGATGCCCTAACTGAAGCAACGCAACCCATTTTAATTGAAAAAATTGAGGGCGCTCACAAACAGACTGCTTGTTGTGTTATTATTTGTTTTAGAAAGTGCACCTTGAAAATAATAAAATTTCAGTCTGTTGTGAAGTTGCTACCAGAAATCAGTCCAATTTGCATTTTAATTTGGCAGTTATTTTATGTCAGATGCCCTAATTGAAGCAATGCAACCCATTTTAATTGAAAAAATTGAGGGCTGTCACAAACATACTGCTTGTTGTGTTATTATTTGTTGTGCACCGTGAACAGAATTGCGATAAGTTTCAATCTGTTGTGAAGTTGCTACTACAGATCAGTCCAATTTGCATAATAATTTGGCAGTTATTTTCTGTCATTATTTTATCTATAGCTGGGAAGATATCCAGGTACCTCACGTCCAAGATGCAAATGCTGTTGAACCCAAGGGAAACAATTATATTTACAGTAGTGGTTGAGTTGTATTGTCCTATTTAATGCTTATTTTATTATGTGTATAAATTATGAATCATAGTGAAACTGGATTACAATCTACAAGTAATCGGGCTCCTTTTGTCCGCTTTACATATTAATTTGACATACATTTGTACCACATATGCTTTTTTCTATATGTCTCTCTGAACAAGATGCTTGCTTTTGGACTCCAGGGAAAAGACCATATACCAAGATGAGTACTACTTGAGTTGTATGATCTTTCTGTATTGTTTTACCGTATTATCTGTAAGAATTGTGCAAAAAAAAAAAAGAAAACTGGATACACCATTCCTATACACCACCATTTGCCTCGATGAGATTTGTTTTTACATTGGTTTCATACCACAGGGCTTATCTGAGACAGCACTATTTCATTTTCTTTTCTTGACGTCTTGTCTTTTTTTGACGTAGATACAGCAAATAATAAGCCTGCTACTGGGCTTTCATATATTGATCAAATTTTTTTGTCTGATGCCCATTGAGATTTTTGCTCAGCCTATCTGGTCAAACTCAGACATTAACTTAAAGATGCACTATGTAACTTTTTGGTTAAGGGTCAGTCACGTCATTGCTCTGTGTGAAGTGTTACACAGCATGACATTAAACAGCCTTTATTCAATTACAGGTGGTTTTATAACAAAAAAATACAAAGAAAAATAGGCATTCTGACTGCTAGGGTTGCCTCTCCACAGATCTAACCTGTAACTTTGTCTTGAATGTGTCACAGTATGGTATTAAGCATTTGACAGATCCTCCACCATAAAAGTTACGCAATGCACCTTAAAAGTTAACTTACTTTTGATGTCTTCTGCTGCAGTGTTTGGTGTTTGGTGCTTTATATCATTCACTCTAAAAACTAAGAATTTCCTTTTAAAATATATCAAATTATGTATACATGTCTTCAGGTGGAAGGAGTCTGTGACGATTGGGAATTAGGTAAAATAAGATTTCATTTACTGGTTTGTTTTTGAAGTTTTGCAGAACTTACCTCTTGGGTGATTTTCAAGACAAAACATTCACATTCATATTTAGAGCTGGCACTTCAAAAAAGCAACATCATTTCTTTGTTTCTTGACTACAGGGACAAATTGGATAAGTTGTCTTCTTCAAAGTAGGAGAGGTGGTTTTCTCTCATGTTTCTGTCTTGATAACTAAAGGTATAATTCTGTTTTATTTGACAGTTTTTAGTAACTTGCAGTGTTTTGCAGCTGTTAGGCTTTTGGCAGTGGCTTTGTTCTTGTGATAACTATTCACATCATAATCCACTTTGAGGGATTGTAAACCTGTACAGGAATTGTCATTTTTGTGTCTTTTCTTTTTAAATTATCAATCCAGCTCATGTTTCTAGCTCAGGAAAAAGACTATAGCTGGCCAAGTACAACCACATACCAATATATGGGAGTTAAATTCTTTTCAGCATACTAGGAAATATTTTAAGTATTTATTTTTGTAGTAATTGGGGCTCATTGCTACTTCAAATATAAATTAGTTCTCAAACTTAATAGCGCCAGTAGAAAAGGCCGTACTCTGTAATTATAGGGCATTATTATAGGGACTAATTGAAGTACAAACATGACGTTACCTTTCCACAATATGGTAATAAGGTTTGCTCCTGTATATTCTGGCTTATATTTTGATTTTTATTGAACTTTCATTATGATTTAAGAACACAGCACATGTACAGCCAGCTAGTACTGTTGCTTTTGAATGATTTTTGTAAATGATGTAACATACTCGAACTCCTCTGTGCCAATGATAGCTGCCTTCATGAAAAGCAGAAATGAATGTACATTTGGAAACAAGGTTGCTTTAACTTGTCTCCTTCTACTTGGCACTCAATAAATATATTTGTTGAACTGATTTTTGATTTGTGTGTGTGTGCAAAATTAGACACAAAGAATGCATAGTTTTAAATCAGAGACAGATTTATTTATACATAAAGGTTGAAAAAACATGTAAATAAATGTATGTAAAATAAAAATAATTTAGGTTTTAATAAAATTACATAAATCAATGAAATAAATATAAAACATGAGTAATGACAAGTTGTGAAGGGTACACTTTATGCTGCCTTATATCTGCCCTTGTTTACAGTCACTCGATAAGCCTACAGACTACAACAAGGAAAGCCCATATCACTGAAGTACATACTTAACATAGCACTGATGGCAAGCATTTAGTCGGCCATAACCACATAGTACATTTAAATGCCCCACCATACATTTACTATGGAGCTTGTTCTATCTCTAAACCCCTAAAATAATGAGCTAATTTACAATGTAGCTTGGACAGAGAGCTTGAGTTATACAGCTTAGTCTAGTTTAAATTATAAACTACAGAGGACATCTTCAACCTCCAACTTGTGCTTTGTCAATAGCTTCAAAAATTGCATTCTAAGTTCACACCTTGAACTTCAGTCATATTCAGTGGAGAAGTAATAAAGTATTTGTATCCTTCCCTATAGCAGTACTTTGTGTGATCACCTTGAGAGAGGTTTGTCTTGTTAAGGCACAAAAATAAAAATACATTTGTTATGCTTTAAGCTGCTGAGTTTTTTTACAGTAATAGGTGCTTAATAACTTCTATATGCTTTTTTTTTTACCACAAGATGTCATTGTGATATCCGAGTTTAATGTTGAGGAATTAGGTCAAAATGAACAATGTAAACATGCTGTCTTTTATATTTTCTATGTCCATAAAAGATTTAGACAGTCTTTTAGCAGCTTTAGGTATATTTTAGTAACAAAAGCTAGAGCAAAATCACGTGAACTTGAGCATCAAAAATATTTCTTTCAAGTCCTATTAGACTTTTTAACAATGTTTACAGCTAGAAGGCTGTGATAGACCTTTCATGTAGTACATAACTACTAAGAGCTGAATCAAATACAATAGTATCTGTGCTATGTTTTTCTATCAGGGCGCTAATTAAAAGAAACGGTTTTATTTACTTGCATTATTCCGTTTGTTGATGTTTGGAACATCGTGTTCATAACCTCAGTTTGAGATTATGTGAGTGCTGTGTGGAACAAACTGAACTTTATAAAATATAACACAGCTTTATCAGAGAAGGCCAGCATTGACATTAAACTTGATTATATAATCACACCACTCCCAAGATAGTACAAGACATAAATATAGAAAAATATGTAATGTATATTGTATATGCATATAAAAGTAAATACAGTATAAGGGAGAAATCGGGACGTATAAACATTAAAACCAAGTGAAATTACAAAGTCGAGACACAGCAATGCCCTGCTTCACAATCACAGCAGGTCAAACAGCAGCAAGGCCCCACCAACAGGGGGCAACAGTCGTGTCCTCTTGAGCAGAAGAAGTCCTGACATCAGCTGTCCTTCTCACTCCGTCAGGAATGGCTCCCACCGTATAGAGCGGGTTTCAAGTGAATTCAGATTGAACTTTACAAATGTCTGGAGTGAAGAGGGGGGCAGCTCAGAGTCAGGAGCTCTCTGCTGAAGAGCGTGTCAAAAGCACAAGTGAAGAGCTGTGTGAACCAAGCGCCACTCAGCCACTCTGTGACCCCAGGAAGGAATGATATTTGGACGGACTTTCAATGTTGAGTGTCACTGCCACAGTGGGAGCAGTTCTTACAGTTCGACTTTTAGGAGAAATGAAACCAGACGCAGGTTCATGTCTGTAATATACAGGAAGTGTGACCTGTGTGAGCTAACACTGAACATCCAATATGGACAACATCAGTGTGGCATTAAAGAGGCACAGTGGTGCTATGGGCTTTTACCTGGTCTTCAGTCACTCAGGTCAGACCTGAACTCTTTCACATTTAAATATCACATCGTCACAGTAGAGCCTTTCTGGAGTCGTTCTGATTATACTGTCCCCAAACAGTTTAAGTGCTTTCTGCTAAACCTCCACTGCTCTGCTTAAGTCGTATGAGCCTGGCACAGTCACAGCCTAATGCATTAGATACAATGGAGCTGTTTCACTTTATGTTAAGTTCCACCAGCGCCTATGGTCTGTTTTCCTCAGACATCACCCAGAGCAGGCATTTAAACTGAAGTGTTAACAAAATGCCTTCCACAGTTTATTGTGCCTTTTATAAAAATCACAGACACTGATTGACTGATTCACAATTTCACATGTCAAAAAAACTCCTTCTTTTACCATTCAACAACTTCCTGTTCAAACCAAACCTCACCTCAACTGTCTTCATCCATCAGAATCACCAGCCCAGCAGCTAAACTCTACTCAGTAATTTCTCCACATCAAAGTGCAGTGCGATCCAACATCCCCATAGAGAGCAATCTGTATGCTGGCTCTCTCTCCAACCACACACTTAGCCGCCAACTCCACAGCTTTTCTAAACACTTTTCCAAAAGAGTAATCACTGAAAACATCTGGTTGTGTGTTTGGCAGAGTTTTAAAGGCAGTGGGTTGAATCGCTTTTATAATATGACTGAAGAAGTGTCCAGCTGACCCCGGCTTCAGGGCACATCACAGTCGCATGGTTTAAGGCAACAGCTCTGAAATCCCCACTTAAACTTTACTATTGGCTTTCTCTTCAAACTTAACGGCCATGGCAAATACTCCACTGTCTGGTCTACAACATAGGCTTGTGCTAGCATTGTTTGTAAGGCATGTACATATTCATATAAATAGAAATCTGTGCTATCAGTCATGAGGCAAGGTCACAGAGGGCTAAAACAGCATTGGTGTGGGAGGGGGTGTGGCCTGTGCAATGGGGGCGGGGCCAGAAGGCTTTGCACAGTGCACATACAGACAAATGTAGAAACAGACTTATGTGAATGCAGCATATCACCTCGCAAAGACATAGGTCCCGCTGCGCCCTCAGTCTCTCAGCTGAGCTCCTCTCAGTTCAGGGCGAGCGGGTCCGGTCTGAACCTCAAGGACCAGGCAGAGAACGGGAGCCCAGCCCTACCGCCACTAGGACGGGGCGGAGAAGGGGGCGGAGCTGTTGGTGTTGTTGTGATTGGCCGATTTGACAATGGTGATGACACTGGTGGTGGCCACTTTGCCTGGTGACAGGGGCCCGCGGGTGACAGTCCGGGCGAAGCACTGCAGCGCCTCGTACTTGGCTCGGAGGGCGTCTAGCTCCAGTCTCATGCTGGCGTTTTCTCTCGCCAGTTTGTCCACCTCCATCTGCAGCTCGATCTTCTGACGCTCCAGCTCCTCTTTCTGGGTCACACGTTTAATCCGGCAACTGGCAGCGTACCCCCGGTTCTTGAGGGTACGTCGGCGTTGCTTGAGCCTCACCACGTCTTCCTTGGTCAGCCCGCGCAGGTGCTGGTTGAGCTCCCGCACTGACATAGCGACCAGCTCATCGTCGCTAAGGGCCGGGGCATTCTCACCCGCCTCCTTCTTGACCTGCTCGGGCACAGGGACAATGCCAAAGTCAAGGCACTGAGAGAATACAGTAGTTATAGTTATTGTTCAGATCAAATATTTACAGTTCAAAGGCTAATTATTAAAGGTGCACTATGTAACTTTTCTGGGTGTAACTTTGTTTCCATAGAGATGTTATTGCTCTCCCTGAAATGTGCCACAGTAAGATGCTAAACTAATCTATCTTGCATTTATTCCATTTAAAGGTATTTCGCTGCTAAAAACAAAAAAAGAAATACCTTTAAAAATAGAGTGGCAGAGGTAGCCTCTCCATAGATCTGACCTGTACGTTAATTGTGTAAATACCTTGTCTATATGGAAACAGATAAGTAAAGCCATATAATCTTCATGGAGACAAGCAGGCAGAGGATTTTTCAACAGAAAAGTCACATAGTTCACCTTTAAGTTTAGTCACAATCTAAAACGTTAAAGATATTACATATTTCTACATCGTCATCTTATACTGCCCTTAATCGACATATACGTATTTTATATAGTTAAGTGCTTAGCTGAAATGGTTAACTTAAAAAAGTATTTGACATCATCATTACTATTTTGTCTTGTTTTGTCTCAAGGCAAAAGAAAAAGGACAAATCAAACTACAATCTAATATAACCAGACATTCAATTTGAAATATTATAGTTCATTAAACTCACACAGTCTATTATGTTAATGATTAGCAGAAACTGAACATAATTATCTTCTTGGAGAAAATTTACCTTTAATGCTTTGTTCGGCTTGAAATGAGTCGTCATTCCCTGCATGCAGAAATCTGTCCAGGAACTCACAGAAGCCACTGTAAGACAAAAACAGAGAATAATGCTTAAATGTCCAACTATATAGACCATTAAAATCCATATGACAGGTTAGACTACATATTTTACTAAAGCAAGATCGTTATATTTAAGTGTATAATTAAGTAAATATATAATTGCAACACTTATTACATTTTCTTTCCCACTATTTTTTAGGTTTTAGATTTTACTTCCTAGTTGAAAATCAAGCCATCAAGCTACATAGCAACCATGATGTCCACTAATGTACACCGAGATTATTATCTGACAAATAAAATGATAAGAAAACACCTTTACTTTGTTGAAATCATGTTTAAAGTATCAGAAAAATGTGTTTTATAAGTATAAATTGTACCTAAATTTATATAACTCTCTACTTTCTGTAATTTTCAACTGATTTTTCAACTTTTCATCACAAACTGCTTCTCGGTTGGTGTAAAACTATCATTTATATTTACAGCAGGTCTTATAGCACCAAATTAAGTAGAAATTAGAGAATCATTGAAACCTGTCATACGCACTTGAACTGCATAAAGACAAGTCTAGGGGTGTTTAAATATTGAGTGCTATGTGTTGTGATGGGCAGTAGAGGGCAGCAGACAACCATGAAAATGCCATCTCTGACTGATAGACCCTTATATAGCCTATAGTTACATGTGGGCGGGTCTTCACTATGTAGTTCACTAGACCAGAGCAGGATTACTTGAGTCCTCCCATGTGTTTGAGTGAAAAACCTGACATTTGAGCTTTGTGGCTGGGTTTTACATTTTCAAGCCCCTCTTTGTAGTCGTTTGGTGCTTTGAAGACGTGACAGAGGGGAAATCTGATTGTCCTGCTGCTATAAGATGCTTCGTTTTGGGACGTGAGGACAGGCCCGACCGCCACAGGCTCGGTGTCATGGAAACAGCATGTCCAATGGGTGTGGGGGTCTGAGTCACATGGTCAGGGAAAGGGTAAACAAGGCTCATTCATAACCACAACACAGCGTACGCACAGCTCCAAAAGGGAAGCACTGTGCAGCCAGTCAAGACCAAAAAGTCCACAATTACTTATGCACTATTAAAGAAGCACTATGTAACTTTTTTGAGGAAGGCTCTGCTACCTGCGTTACCTGCTTGTTTCCATGGAAAAAGATAAATATATGACAGATTTGATTTCATAAGACACTTCACTAGAGAACTTACATAATGAACCTTAAAGCCAAAGTCAATCACATGGGGCCTACACTGTTTGATAATCTTATCTGATCATGTGATAGCCTATTAAAATAGCCTCGGTATTCACTTATAACATTTACGCTGAACTTTGCAGAGTCGTATGTGGAAAATTCCTGACGATAGTGTGTCACAGAGGCATAGTTTCCTTCATCGTCACTCGTGTATTTTTATGTTTAGACAATGCTCCTCCGAGTCCATTAAGAGCCTGGGGTTTGGCCACTGGGTCCTCTTTCACACTGGGCTTTCCTGCGCTGCTACATGCCCTTATTTAACTCGCCTGGTGGTTATATTTAGCCCGCTGTGCTGACAAGAAATTCTGCCAACTAAACAATTTAAGTGAGTGTGCGATAAGTGATAGCCAGAGGAGTCAATGCCCTGTGTGCGCAGCAGTTTGAGCACAACTTTGGGAGGGGATGTAGGGCGGAGGGGCTCATTTGGGAGATGTAGTATCTTTTTCCTACGAAGGGCATATGACTAATAATGCAACAGTTGTTTTGAAGGTGATTAAAATTAGGTGGGCTAACTGGAACACACTGATCATTGATTCATAAGGTGGTGGTTTGGTGGTTAACCAACAAAATAGACTATTGTTTGGTCTATGATGCAGCAAAAAAGTTGGCCAATATAAGTGTGAGTTTATAATGATGATTTTGAGAATGAGGGAAAATCTGTATTATTTTGAAGAAACAATTAACTAAAATATATATTGTATCTTTTCAGTCATAGAAATAATTATTAATCTATGTTTTCAAAGGTCAAAGATCTTTAAACTGTTACCTATTAGGAAGTTCAACACTTGAATAAGAGAATTGTGCTGACTCACATTCACCCTGGTCATGAGATGGGCGTCTTTTGAGTGGATTTATTAAACAGATTCGGGGTAGCTATGGTAACCTTTTGGCCAGCCCCAAACAAACTGAAAGCTGTACCGGTAAGAGTCGCCTAATTGGCATAAAATTTAACCAAATTCAGGCCAAGATGCCGACCGCATATTAGTGTTAGAGAGGAGCAACTGGTAAACAAACTCTGAAGTTGTGAAATAGCCCGTTTGAAAAGCAAGAAGTAGCCAACGGGACATATGGCATTGTATATCAGCACTTATTATTTATGAGTCAGTGTGAAAAGTGAAAGTCAGTCCATCTAGCTCTTTAGGCACAATAAATAGAAAAGTGAAATAGATGAATAAATACTCAAAAATACACTTCTATTCCATTTTTAATGTAACAACACTAATCTTGAGTAGCATTAAAGGTGCATTGTGCAACTTTTCTGGTGGAGAGTCAGTCATGTGCTTGTCTCGATGGAGATATTATTGCTTTGCCTGGGATGTTCCATGATATGACTTTAAACACATCTATCGATCATTTATTCATTATAGGTGTTTCTATTGCTCAAAAATACAATAATTCTCTCTGTGAGTGGGGTTGCCTCTCCACAGATCTGACCTGTAATGTAGCCTGTAGTTTTCCTCCATGAGATAGATAGGTCTAATCTCTACAGTAGAACATTCTGGACAAAGCAGTAACATCTCCATGAAGACAAGCAGATGACAGACCCTCCACCAGAAAAGTTGCGCAATGGATCTTTAAGGGTGGGTACAATACTCACATAAGTTAAAATATTGCATCATATCATATTTTACATATTTAATGCGGCTGTCCAATAATAGCGTTGTTACCATAGCTCTGTTGCCATGATTACAAGTATGCCTGTGTTATGAATAGTCAACAGGTTTCAGTCTGGGCCTCAAATGACCCCACTTCAAAACAGCCACACTATCACTTCTTCTCCCTCTCTCCTGGTTACAGACTCTTTGGGGTCTAACCATAATGTAATTGCACTGTTTTTGCAATAAGTTCTTAAATCTGTGAAAACAAAACAGAAGGAGAAACAGCTGCTGGACCCGAAACTATGTAAACATCTGCAGTCAAAGATGCCCTTCACTCACTTTCATAACTCCAAATATTTAACAGCAAATATGGTTTCACTGTAGTCTCTAATATAAAGGGATTTAAAGGCTGTATATTAAGCAAATTGGACTCTTGTGAGCTTTAAGCCATATTAGAATGCGGTTACCTCCTCAAAAACATAATTGAAGTTTGTTTTGTTTCATTCACAAATGTTTATTATTTATCTGTCTACAACTGTAAAGCTCAGAATGCTCTGTTTCACCTTGTGATGTCATGTATTAGTAGTTTTAAAGTGAACAGCTATCTTTTACTTCTAATTCAGCTGAGACTGGCAATTCCAGGTCTAAAATCATCCAAATGATATTAGTGAATGTGTATGGAGTTTAAAAATACACTGGAGCACTTCCTGTATTACTCATGGCATTGCGAGGCGTTTTCAGTCTGAGAGAAGAACTAAAGCTACATATGCATGGTTTGTGTGTTAAACGTGTGGGGGAAGAAAAAAAAAACAAAAAAACTCTGGGTATGCGTTACCCTTTAAACGTGGCATTCCACAAAGTAGCAGCTTGAACTAAACACTAAACAAGGTGTGAGAAGACACGTTGTAAAATCAAATGTACTACTGTAATGTGAAATCTAAAATATTCATGTAATTCACACTAGATTGCCAACAGAATGTCATCATTAGTGCATGGGAACAAGGATATAACTCAAAACTAGTTCTTAAAATAAGTGGGGATTGGGTAACTACAAACTGTAAATAAAACATCTTAAAAGCATTTGAAGTAATGAATGTGGCAAGCATTTTATACAAGAATTCTTCGAGATCCAAGAAGAGATTTGAAAACAATTTATCTAAACCTAATACAATTTATGTTCGTGGTGAGAATAAAATCCATCGATCAAATAATACTCTAGCCCACACATCTGGAGGTTGAGCAAGATGGAAAGATGCTTCACTCCAAAGAGACATTTTACTGTGATTAAAGTGTAAACAGTATTAATCATTTGAAATGTTTACAGTAATTTTGCTTATAATATTGTGTTTTTACATAATTTGAAAAACTTTACAACATTTTCTAAACCCAGTCTATGACCTCAAAAGGCTTCTCTTTTTATACTGCTGTGGAGGTAAAAACAAGGCATTCCTCAGTAGCAGCTGGGTCTAAACAGGTCTTGCATCAGAGGGGGTCCCTGCCTGGTTACTGGGGATATTCGTTGCAAAGATCATGGAAAAGTGGTGTGGGGCCCCCAGTCTTCATACAAGGGGCCTCTAGCTTGAACCAAGGGGCCACGTTGTTTAAGTCAAATTCTTCAGGCATGTGCTTATGTTTTTGCAAACAGTTCAGGGAAGTTTTTTTTTTGCCTCATCAATCTCCGAAGTGGAAAAACAACTCTTTACATTGCATAGTGAAGTGAATATAGGACTTGTTTCACACACAGATTTCATAACAATCATACTCCACTGGGAAAAAACAGTCCTTAAAGGTTTTCCAAAACAGTAAGAGAAGGAGTCTGGGAAAATACCTCGAGGAAAAGCTGCAGATGGCGGGTAGAAAGAACAAAAAGCCCACATTCCTCCGGGAGTGCACACATGTGAGCAGCCACACACAGCCACACACAGTCACACACATGCAAATGGACCATCGCGAGGAGCAGGGCCCTGGGAGATGTCCTGGGATGCACTCGCACTGCGGGGGGAGGCGGGGCACAGACGATTTCGCTTGTAAAACTACCGCTGCAAATTTCACAAAATGTCTGGAATTCAAAAGTGTCTCAGTATGTCGGCGTTCACTTGTCCAAACAAATCAAACATGTCTGGAGTGTGCAAAAGAGATACAAGCACTTTTGGTAAGTTGAAGTGAAGAGAGCTAG